ATAATTAGCTTTAGCTTTTAGTCTGAGCTCTCATTCTTGCATGTAATTTATAAATACTTGTTATTATACAAATTTAGCTTTTATATAGTTTCTATATAATTACTTATATAAATTACCTAATAAAGATATGAGTAAAGGCCTCACCTTAACACCAAAAAAAAAAAAAAAAAAAAAAAAAAATTATGGTTATATGAATTAACTTTACAAATAAAATAAAATTTAAAAAAAAAATTTACTTCATTTGAACACCACGAATAGTTATAAACACAAATTATATTATCGTCCAGATTTTCATCATCTGTTTCACTAACTTCAGGTGAATGATAAGAGCGATCAGCCAGAATCTTGAATAAAGTTTGTTTTGGATATTTTGTTACTCGTGGGTCATTACACTTATAAAGATCTTTTGCAGCCTTTATTCTACACATTTTTTTCTAAATAAAAATTAGATGTTAGATAAATAACACTAATTTTTAGCTTAAAAAATTACATACATCATTCATTCTGTTATTACGATGAACTCGTCGATTATCTTCAATAATCTTTCCACTTTTTCTTAGTTTCAGTTATGAATGACGGGATTTATGAAGACAACATAGCCATTTCATTAACTGACTAACTGATGGATGGTAATTTGGAGCCATTGCCCTTCTTAAATTCTGGAATTAGCCGGTTTTGCACCTCGATATTTTTCTTACTATCGAATGTCTCATTATAATCTAATTGTATATGCGGCTTGTTGGCAGTTTTTAATATCGATTTTATTTCAGACTAAATAATAATAAATAAATTAGCTAAAAATAGTTATTAATATAAAAATAAATTTGCATACTCTTGCTTTTATTTCATCAGCTTCATCTACTATTTCTACACTGTTTTCACTGTCATTTGCTGATGACTCTTTTTCATCATAATATATGCATTTTTTTCTTTTAGATTTTCTTGATTTTTTATTAATTTTTCGACATTTGAATGAATGTTGATTGGAATCAGAATCGATATTGTCATCGTTTCTCCACATTAAAGCAGGTAGTTTATATTTCTGATATTGTTTAAATTTACTTTTCAATTCATCATTCTGTTTTACTAATTTATCATTATCGTTGCTAAATTCCGAATTGACAGTAACTAAAAATTTATTCTCTTCGCGTAAATTTTCCATCTCGCGCAAATCAGATAATTCTTTTTTTAATATTCTGTTCTCTATTAAACAAAAAAAAAAATTAAAATTTTCAATATAAAGATAGATAATAATTTTTATACCTGACAATAAATCATTATCACTTTGCATTTGTTCATATTCATTAGTTTGATATTGGGATGGAAGCCGTATATTGCTATACTTTTCACGCATTCTACTGAGATTAACAGTACCACTAGAAGTAATTACTGGTGAACGCATCAATTCTTGCTCTTCTAAACTCAGTATTGTTTACAAACCCGGTAAGTAAATTGTTCATGCAAATATAAAACCAAATTTAAAAAAAAAATACAAACGAATTTGAGATGATTGTGTATCATCCACACCATCCTCTTCTTGAGAGTTTTGATAACGTTGGCTGAGAATTTTAGTTAACGAAGATTGTATATTGTGATCTCTACGTTCAGCTTCTTGAGAATATTGGGATGATAAATGTTGGTTAGATTTTGATCGAATTTTAGTAGATATTTGTCGTGTTCCATGATCAAAATTATTTTCCTGAGTACGTCGCTGTGGTTTTTTACTCATAGCGCTATTGCAATAAAGTAGTTTATATTTTTGTTAAAAAAATATGAAAAAAATTTTTTTATATTGGCAAATGATATCCATATTACATTGCAAGAGATAGTTTATTATTCAGATTCTACTCGTCTCTCTAACTAATACAAGTTTTTACCATTTACTATACTAAGAAAGAAATTTGCTTACCGTTTTTTTATTCTATTTATTTGTTTTTTTTACCAAATTAATAATTTGAAAAGGAAATTTCGCCCGTTCGCGCTGCATATAGTACCGTCTGTGACAAATAAATAAATCAATTTTTAAAATATTATTTTATACATGATTTTAATTTTCCATATCACACCAGGGCGCTGTATGATAACAATGGTTATTCGTACATTAAGAAAATATTTTTTGACAAACGTACGTCAATTAATAATTGACAGAATTAGGAAATGACACTTCCACTATAGGAGAGAATAATAAATCATGTGGATGCTATCGGTAGATCGTTCGTCTTCAAATACATAATAGAAAGACTCGTGATTTAAAAATTGTATCTTTATGATTAATATAATATAATTATTAATAAAGAAAAAAATTTATTAATTACTGAATCATCGTATGAGTTTAATAAATAATTGCATTAAAAGTCGAACTAAGTTATCTTTCAATTGGTGGAAATTGAAAAGCAACTTGTGCGATTGAAAGATGACAAAATTTATAACTACGAACATAACCATCGGCGAAACAACGTAATGCACTACCGACTCCATACAAAGATAAGGACTTTGACAGCTTTCTTTATTTTTATGTTTCTTATATTCATAAAATTTGATTCTAAATTAATTACATAATTTTTGTCTCATATGATATTTGACTTCTACCTTAATTACATCATAAATTAATCATATATTCCACTTGATTACATATTTCTTATGCGCTTTGCATTATTAATCCATGATTCGATGGTGCACGTGATCACGAGACTAAACTTCAACCTATTCAAATGTGCAATTTTTTTTTTTCTGTTTATGCTTGGTTTTAAAAATTATATTTGTTATGCACATGTTCAGAAAATGATTGTTGTTAAAGTGAACGCAAATAATTTAATATTGTATATTACCTATTCAACTAAAATAGACTCTTTCAATTTAACCCCGAAACACCTCATTAGTATAAAATTTGAACATTGATAGTAAATATTATACAAGTTTAAATAGCGAATTACTGTACTATACCTTACGATTTTTTAATAAATAAATCAAATTTTTCTTATTGAATGACTTTCAATTATTTATTTTTTCACTTAGCCTTAAGTATTTTTCTGCAAAATGGTACGAAAAAGAACAGCTCAAAGTATTCTTGATAGTGACGAAGAAAATTCAACTTTAAGGCAATCTAGTTCTGTATCAACTTCATGTAGAATATGAAGCACTTCTAGAATTATTGATAATTCAACTTCTACTACAATTTCCCATACGTTGTCACAAAATAGTAGATCGGTTGTGTGTAATTGTTCAGATTGTAATGGAAGATTAGTGGATTATTGTATACAAATGCTTCACAATATGTCAGACTACAATTTGGATGATTTAACAAATACCACTTCACCAATACATTTACTAAATGAAATGGAAATATCTTGTGAAGCTTCTCAATCCTCTGAAATTCAGCAAAATATTACCACTATACAATATATCGATCAAGGTATTGAATTTATTGAACAATTAGATTACAATCGATTAAATGAAGAATTAGACTATGATTAATTAAATAAAGAATTGGATTACGATTAATTAAATAAAGAATTAGACTACGATCAATTAAATAAAGAATTGGATTACGATCAATTAAATGAAGAATTAGCTTACAACTAATTAAATGATAATCAAGATAATGAATTTATTTTCCAACCTAGACAACGTAGAAGAAATTGTATAAGCCATTCCATGGAACCTTTGAATATTAATAATGAGCTAGAAAATGAGCCAAATGATTCAGATAATAATGAATTTTCAGACGTTTCATCCGAAGCCTTTCAGGAATCAGAAAATAAATTTTCTGAAATTTTTGAAGATTATTCATGTCCACATTTTGAGCTATCTCAATACAAAAACAACATACAAAATCGTAATTGTCAATTTTTGTGGATATTGTTATGGATAATGAAATTTCGAATAAAATTTAATATTCCAGAAACAGCAACCGAAGCACAAATAAAGTTTATGAAATTGATGTTAATAGAAATCGGTGGTTCCAATTTTGCTGCATTTCCTGGTTCTTTATACTTAGCAAAAAACTTTCTCAGATTAAAAGATGAGTTTTATAGCTTTGTTGTATGTCCAAAATGCCACAAATTATACAATAAAAAAGAAGTAGAAGAGTTTCATTATAATGGAGAACTTTCTATTATGAAACGTAAACATGTTGAGTTCCCCAATTCAATCAAATGTAGAACAAATTTATGTCACGCTGCTTTATCTCAGAAAATATTAATAGATAGTAAAATTATCATTAAACCTGAATTAGTATTCCCATTCGCTGGGATTCAACAGCAGCTTATTACTATGTTCCAAAGACCTGATTTTAAAAAATTATTAAGACATTGGGCAAATAGAAAACAATTCAATAATCACTTAACTGACATATATGATGGTCGTGTTTGGCAAAATTTTAAAGAAAATAATGAAACCAATTCACTTAAATTTTTTCGATCAGAAATGGCAGACTCGCACCTTGGTTTAATGTTAAACCTTGACTGGTTCCAACCATATGAAGTAACAATACATAGTACTGGGGTAATATACGCTGCAATATGTAATCTTCCAAGAGACATAAGATTTAAACGAGAAAATTTATTACTTCTTGGTCTTTTGCCTGGACCAAATGAAGTAAGCCTACATAAAATAAACCATTACTTAGCTCCTATCGTTAATGAATTAGAATTACTCTGGAGTGGAATAACTTTAAATAAAACTTATGAATATCCAAATGGAAAAAAAATTCGCACAGCTCTAATTTTAGTTTCATGCGATGTCCCTGCTACTAGGAAAATGTGTGGACATGTTTTGGCATTGGTTTCATGCCACAGGTGCCAAAAAAAAGCTAATTATGAAAATAATCAGCATAACTTTGCTGGTATAAATGAATGAGCATCTTGTAACCCAATGCAACATCGTGAAGATGCACTTGGGTGGAGAAGATGTAACTCAAATGCTGTGAGAAAAAGATTTGTAAAAGATGCTGGAGTAAGGTGGTCTGAGTTACTTCGCTTGTCATATTTCAATCCAATTCGTTTTGCTATTATTGATCCAATGCATTGCCTATTTTTAGACACTGCAAAATTGATAGCAAAATGAATTTGGACTGATGAAGGAATATTGACTACAAATTCATTAAAGATAATTCAACAAAAGATGAATCAGTTTAGAATACCAGCAGATATAGGTCGAATTCCAAAAAAAATTGATCATGGAGATGGTTTTGCTAATTTTACCGCGGATCAATGGAGAATATTTTTTGCTATATATGCTACTGTATCACTTTGGGATCATCTTTCAACTATAGATAGAGAGATACTTACACATTTTGTAAGAGTTTGCTCACTTTTAGTAAACCGAATTATTGAAGTCACATGTATAGAAGAAGCACACCAAAGTTTAATTAAAATTATAAAATTGATTGAAGTAAACTATGGCCATGATAAGATTACACCAAATCTTCATCTTTCGCTCCATTTGCATGAATGTTTACAAGATTTTGGACCTTTGTATGTTTTTTGGTGTTTTTCTTTCGAATGTGCAAATGGTATATTAGGTAAATATAGTTTGTTAATATATAATAGATTAGATATTAAATTTTATACTCTTTTATTAGCGTTAATCATTTTCTTGTATGCTCTATAAGTTAATAACTTGTTATTATTAATTAAATTAATATATACATACTTATCTTTTCTAAAATGCATATATTTTATTTTAGGTTCTTTTCTTAATAGCCATCGGCAAATTGAAACAGAGCTTATGCGCAGACTTATGAATGATAATCAAATAGAAAATATCATAAGTTCTGTTGAAACAAAAGGTCTCGAATTACTTAATAATAGACCTTCAGTTGGATCGCTTTCGGAAACTGATGAATTTATCTCAGATGAAATGCAGCGATATTTACTATATTCACAAAATATCAAAGAATCCCCAATTACTGGGTGTGAAAAATTTCCAGGTGAAATATTAAGACCTTTGTTTATTGATGTTATAATGTCAAATAAAATGATCGATATAATAGTTGAATATTACATAGCCACTTATGAAATGCATAATTTTCGAAAGCCATTTGGAGAAGGACCTGATGATTCAATAATAATTAATGTTAAAATGAACCAATTTGGAAGGTGCCGTATTGGTTCTGAAATATTTGGTTCTATAATATCACCTCATCATGTGAATAGCTTATTTGTTTTGGCTAAATTTATAACAAATGATAATGAAGTTGACTGTTATCCCGGCCAAATTCAATATTTTTTTAAACATACAGTTCCATTACCAAGTGGTTCTATAGAACATTTTTTAGTATTTATTTGATAGTACCAAGGTTCTAATTTCCGATACTATTTCAAAAGTGATGGAATTTGTAATGTTGAATTATGGAGTACTGAGTTTTATCCAGAATCTCGTGATTGTGTTATTCCAGCACATCATATTCTTGGTCGATTTGTTCCAGTGAAGTATAAAGTTTCAGATCGTCAAAATGCATTAGAATATCTAGCAGTTAATCCTATTAGTAGAAAATATCATATTCGCTAATTTATTTTATATATATAATTTGAATATTTGCTAATTTTTTGTAATGCTTGTACGTACATATGTATATATCGTATTATATATTTTTTTAAACCCAAATTCATAATTTCTTTATTGCTGAACATCTCAAACTAATGAAACTTCATTAAATCTTTTATTCTATTCGACATGGTAAAGTAAAATTCGCAAACTGGTTAAATTGTAATGATTATACCCGTACTGCCAAATATAATACAGTAAATCTAGTCAAGATTTATTTCTCTTCTTTATATATATACGTAGTAACTTATTATTAATAGGATAAGTATCTGATTTACTTAAAAACTTATAGTATTAACATATATAAATACATTTATCTATTATACAAGACTAATTGTTTTTTATTTTATTTTTTTAAATAGTATCATTGTTCTTATATACTGTATATGAATAATAATATTGTCTATTGCTAATATTATTGAAGCAAATATTACAATACGTATTATATACTTGGTATAGACTCAAGTATCTAAATTAATTAATAATCTAAATTAATTGATAATCATAATTGATGCTTAAGCATCACAATTGATTACGATATTTATACGTAGAATTAAAAACTTAAAAAATTTCTTTTTAATCAACCGTTAAAGATTCAACTTTAGTTCTCCTTTTAATGATAGGTATGCTGTGCTGGGACTTTAATTAATTATATTTCAAGGGCTAAAATAACTGGTGCTTTATCTGAAGATCTGCAAGTTGGCGTAGAACAATTTTCTTAATAATTTACTATAGATCATAGTAAACAATGTTGGAATTGGACTTATTTCCAAATGTGATCTCTTACAGTATAGGTGGCACTACTCCATAATCAATTC